TTCCACCAACCGAGGCGGGAGAGCGGGCGGCTGCAGGGACCAGGTGGCAGTGGGATGGGAATGGGAAAGAAATGCCAATTCCAAACACGGAGATACAACTTGTTGTAGGGGATTCTCTCCCTTCCAGTGCGGCAGAGGGGAAGACGCAGCCTTTTCTCGTTCCGGAGGGAGTGTTTGCTCCCAGGTTCAGTCTGGCTCCGCCACAAGCAATAAATTCACAGGAGAAGCAATGAAGTGCACTTTAATTATGGCACAGGAGTATTTTACATTGTCATCTCTATCTCGGTGCGAGCACTCGGTGTAATTTTAGATCAGGAGGAGGCAGCTTACAGAGCTAAAATAACCAGGGAGGGATGAAGGACGCACACGAACCCCGCAGCCTGCCCGTCCCTTCCATGCCCTCCTCATTCACTGGGCTCCTTCTGCCACCCCCTTCTCACAGCGCTGACCAGGATCAACAGCGGACGGAGGAGAAACACAACTCTGGGGTAAAAAAGAGGGAAGATTCTCACAAAGTGAAGCCCTGGTTACACAAAGCTCTGTGCAGCACCGAGCGCCCTGGCAAGCAGCTCCGCTCCAGCCCCGGAGAACAGGCCTGCAGGAGGAAGAAGCCTCCCAGGCTGACTTAGCCCACACTCCTTTCTGCACGAGCGCTACCTCCCTCCAGTTATCACCGTGCTTTAAAAACCCGTAACTATCTCACGTAAAGAAGCGGGGATTGGGAAGAAGCGCCGCTCTGAACTGCAGTCTCTTCGCTTGCTGCAGGGGCTACGAGGCCTGGGTGAGCGCGGCCACGCTCGCCTCGATTTCCGACAGGCTCTTGAGCATCTGGTTCACCTTGGCCTCGTCGAATTCCAGGCAGAGAAACTCAGATTCCTGCAAAAGAAAATTGCCAGAACGTTAGCCGAGACAGACGCGTTCCCTGGGAACACACGGAGAGGGGATAACGTGTCGGGGCTTCCTGCAGGTTCCATCCTGAGGCCTCGTGCACACCTGGGCACGGGCAGCCGCTGCTGGAGGACGCACGAAGGCCGTGTCTGCCTGTCCCTCCTTTCCACGCAGGCATCGGTTCGGGTTTCTCCTTAGCTGGGGAGCTGCAAAACCACAGGAGTTTAATCATATCCGAGGCTCCCGCTTCCCTTCCCGCTCCAAAGGGGACTGGCTGAGGAGCCCACAAGCTGTTGCTGCAGGTCCTGGGGGATGCGAAGTGGCTGGAGTCGCTGCACAGAGCTTGAGCGTAGGAAAAACAGACCCTGAACGTGGGAGAACCCAAGGACCAGTCGTGGCAAATGACCTTCTACTGCGAAATTTAAGGAAAGAAAATTAGGAAGCAGCACTGATTTGTTTGAAAAAAAAACACCTGTCACACAGAAAAAAGGGATCTGGCAGGCTGGATATTGGGCGATGGGAAAAAGACTAGAGAGAACATTGGCAAGGGCACAGAATATATAGAATACATATTAAAAAATTAATCATACAGAAATAAAAATATCAGTGTGAAAAAAACTCCCGAGGTCTCTTACCCATCAGCCTTACATGTTGCTGTGCCTACAGCCAGAACACATTCCTTACGGTGATGCTGCAACAAGAAATGTTTTGA